TTCAGCCTCCTGATGAGTCGGTGAAACTCCGACGAAACAGTTTGTCACAGCCCCTCGTTTGTTGTCCTCTTCTCTCTCTCTCTGCCTACGGTTTACCGGGCAGTTCTGTTTGTGACGACATATATATACGATATATATATTCTGTTTGTGACGATATATATATATATATATATATCGTGGGTGTTTTGCTTGCTTGTGATGGGGTGTGAACCGACAGTCTGTAGAGTTTTCCATCTGGTGTGGGTGAGTGATAGTCTGCTTTGATTTTTGTCACACTGGCAGGTACCTTGAGGGCAGTGGTTGGTGGTCCCCACTACCTCAGAGGGGTATCAGTTGTCGGGCAGTTGTTGATGCTTAACCACAGCCGGGGTTAAGGTGGATTATCACTTACAGTGTAATCAGTTAGGGGATTCTGCAGACTGTTTTTGAGGGTTCAGTTTCCTGATGAGTCGGTGAAACTCCGGCGAAACAGTTTGTCACAGCCCCCCCTCGTTTGTTGTCTTTCCTCTTCTCCCTCTCTGCCGCGGTTTACCGGGCAGATCTTTCTGACAATATATATATATATATATATATATATGGGTTCAGCCTCCTGATGAGTCGGTGAAACTCTGACGAAACAGTTTGTCACAGCCCCTCGTTTGTTGTCTTCTTCTCTCTCTCTGCCTACGGTTTACCGGGCAGTTCTGTTTGTGACGATATATATATATATATATATATATATTGTAACTTCGGCAATGAAGCGAACTTTCCAAAATGCTCTCCCAAGGCATCCCAGCCTATCCATGTGAGCTTTCACAGAATAGTAGAATGCCTACCCACATAACTCCAGCATGATTTTACAAAACCAACGTGTGATATAATATTTTTATCATATTTATGACAACAAAGTATGCATAAGAGACACACACACACACACACACACACACACACAGAGAAAGAGAGAGAGAGAGAGAGAGGGCGGCCAAGTGTGAAAAATCTGGGACTGTATCCGAGCATAGGAGATGGCCGGATTGGGTTGCCAATTTCATGTCCAGTGAGTTGTGGAGTGGAAAAGGGGGAAATGAATTTGTATGGGGGATGCTATAGGGTGACCGAACCAGGTTTCCAGCAGGTGCACCTCCCCTCCATTACCTTTTTCACAGAGACACTAAGTCGCTTTAGTAGGCTGCTAGATCATATTCAACGCCTCGGGGCAGACCCAGCAGCCTGTTTCAAAAACCGAAAAAAAAAAATTGAGAGCATTGTTGTCAGGGAATGGCCTCACCGAGGCCACACTCCCACACTAGTTCTTGCCAGTATGTATATGTCTGTCCACTATAGCCTCTGATCTTTTTTTTTTTTTTTTTTTTGTGTGTGTGTGTCCTTCCAGTGAGGCAGGGCGTATTCCACGCTCTGACAGGGAGCGCCCGCTGATCTTTCTTCTTCTTCTTCTTCTTCTTCTTCTTCCTTCTTCTTTTTTTTGTGTCCTTCCAGTGAGGCAGGGCGTATTCCACGCTCTAACAGGGACCGCCCTCTGATCTTTGTTCTTTTTCTTCTTCTTCTTCTTCTTCTTCTTCTTCTTCTTCTTCTTCTCTTCTTCCTCTGCGAGGCACAAGGCCTCGGTAAACCCTACTGGGCCCCTATTTGCAACAGTGTCAGGCGCCCTAAGTGAAGGCAGGCTCGACAGACGACAAGAGGCCTATTTTGGACTACTTCGCAACTGGGGGAAAATTCAGGCAGTTGAGCAGCGCCAGTTGGTTGAAAGCGCCCAGGCCCTGGCCTCCTTTGTCAAATGCATCTGAGTCAGGCCCTGGGCTAGATACGCAGCATGGACCCAACTCAGGCTGCAGGCAGTTGGGCGCGGGTAACTGTCACAGGCCTTGGGCCTGATCTGTTTGGTCTGGGGCTTCGTTGATGTTGATAAGACTATTCCAGCATTGTCAATTATGAGCTTTTTTCTGTGCTCTTATTTGGTGAAACTCGTGATGCAATTCTGCTATTGGTTCGAGGTCACGACTCTCTGGTCTCTTGTGTATGATGCTGTTTGATTTCTGAAGTTCGCTATCGCTCATTTTCCTAGCACTTCTTCTTCTTCTTCTTCTTCTTCTTCTTCTTCTTCTTCTTCTTCTTCTTTTGTGCCCTTCCAGTGAGGCAGGGCGCATTCCACACTCTGACAGATCCAGGATTGGTCAAGCCGTGGAGTTCGGTTTCAAGTGTGCAGCCGTTTCAAGTATTTTGTGAAGTGCACATGGAACGAAGATTGCGGTAAGTATTTTTTAATCACGATTTTGAAGTTAGGGCGCACTTGAGACTCAAGGGTTCTCTAGTGGTGTCGAACGAGGCCCTTTCTTCTTTTTCTTCTTCTTCTTCTTCTTCTTCTTCTTCTTCTTCTCTTTGCTAAGTCAGTCCAACGATGTAGCAATCCCCAATCAAAAACCATTCTATGAGCGAGACTACTGCTCCTAATGAAGTAAGTGGTGTTCAGTGTTCACACACACACACACACACACACACACACACGCACACACACACACACACACACACACACACACACACACACACACACACACACACACACACAC